GGTCAATGCTCGTTCTGCGTTATTGTGTAGTGATAAAAATAACACTTTCACACCGCATTTAATTCGGTGTGAATTTTTTACTCTTCACTTCACGATAACGCAGAACGGGAATTGGCACCCGGGAGTATTAAGTTTATTATTTTTTTTTTACAATTGGCTAACAATTATGTCTCAGGCAATTGCCGAGTCGAGAGCACCAAGCAGATCAGTTTGCTGTATTTTAATGCCGCTATTTTCCTTCGACCTGATATATTTAAATATATAGTTTAATAAAACTAAAATGACTTTGAATAAAGAAGATAATGTGAATATACAAATATTTTTTTACATACATATCGCCACCTTAATTCACAAAGACTTTAACCAACATTTTTTTTCTTTATTTTACAGAAGAAGCAATAAACATTATAAAATCAGTAATCACTAATAAAATTATAGTTTAAAAAACTAAAAAATCGCTACGTAACTTCAATGTGGAAATCGCTGCATCTGTTAGGCACATCATTATTACATAGTTACATTCCAAGTTAATAAAAGCGAGGTAAACACAGGTAGGGCCCTTTAAAAAGTAGCATGTAACTCCGTATTTTAACACATCCTACCAAAATCTGCGAAAACCTCAGTTTCGAAAAATGTGTTGATTAGGGCCTTTGTGAATTAAGGTAAATATGTATGTACATACGTTTGTTCGACAGATTTTCTCCACAATAAATTTTAAATTAAAAACTATGAGCAAGTAAAAGTATAAAATATACTTCAAAAACTTTGATGTAACTCAACATACATACATACGTATGTATAAATAAGCGAGGAAATTAAATATTTCTTTTTTCGCCTGTACTGTTGTTCTTTTAAATGTGCCTTATTTCAAACTAATACAATTTTCTCAAAGTGCTGGTTTTTATTAAACATAATATTTTTTCTAACGCTGTAATATTTGTTTGCAATTTCTATTGTAACGATATGTAAATACTTATTTATTAAGTACCAGAGAATATCAAGATTCGCTACACAAATAAACTTGTTTCTTCCATTTGAGCATTATTGCATTTGGCATAGTAAAATTGGTAATGTTCTTGTTATAAAAGCATAAAAATTCCCCAAAGCGTTTTTGGGTAAAATGCTGCGGTGAGACTAATAGAACCAATTGGGGACAAAAGTCTAAGGAACCTTCTATCGAAGAACCATTTAGGAGCTAAAGTCTCAGGAGCTTTCTGACAGAGAACGAAATGGGAACAAATCTTTTCCGAGGTTCCATTAGTTTGAAATGTTTGAATAATAAAATTATTCAGAAAAGAACTGAAAGATATTTATGCAAATTAAGTCAACGAAAGACTTAAGACAAGAACTTTTCATGCACAGAAAATGAAAAACTGTTCCATAAATGGACAGCTCAACCTAATGATGAACGATCTATAAGTTGAAATGATCCCGTTTTTGCCTGGCTTAGAATAAACGGTTATGGTTCTCATTGATCCGATTTTTCATCTCATCGCGCAGATGCCCCACAGTGTTTTCGAATATAGAGGCAGGTGGAAAAAATTCGTGGTGACAGTTGACTTAAAAACAGGTTGGACTTAGAGAGGGAAAAGTAAAACACAGAATTGGAGGGCGTGGCAATTATCCCATCTTCAGCAAATTTCATAATTCCTAATTCCTAAGAAAAATTAAAGCACATGTCAAGTTTCAGCGAAATCGTTGCAGGTTTACTATTATTTCCATCAGGCACCATATAGTCGAAACACTGTGCGCCCTTTTCCTTTTTAACGTTAAGTTCTCAAAACTTTTGTTCTCTGGCAGACCGTTCCCCAGACTTTTGTTCTTATTTTATCCTCCTTGAAAACGTTCTCGATACTTTCGTTTTCATTTTGTTCTCATTAAAACGTTCCCGAAAGTTTCGTTCTCATTGTGCTCTTCTTTGGAACGTTCATGAGGTTCTTTTGTGGGAATTTTCTTGAAACTGCATTTTGTTCCCATGCAGAACTAAACTAAAACCGGAACGCGTTCTCGGTCCCTGGTAAAAGTCTATAAACACGGTATGTATGCATGATGTAGTGAACAAAGGTGGCGCCCATCTGCGTACCGCTATTCCGCTCTCAGTGAATTTCACGGAATCGCTGTTTGTATGACGTCACGCTTGTGCAACTTCTTTACGTTTTCCTTGCAAAATTTGTATGTATGTACGTACATAGAAAAAAAAATTCCACAATATTAACTGAGTTGATAAATTTCTATTACTACATACTTACAAATTGAGACAAATGAGGATTAAATAAATATCCATTAAATTTCAGATTCGATTTTTAATTAATTCCGTTTAAAATGTGAGCAAATTTGCAATTAGAATAGTACCATAGTGAAGCAACTTTTTTTTTATTTTTTGTGGATAAGTCAAACATTTATTTTCTAGAAAGAATTGCTTTAAGTATAAATAATAATGTTTACATTGTAAAACGTACCAGCGTACATGTATACCTATGTAGGTATACAGTCAAATGTATGTGCTAAACGAATCCTTAGTCCTTTATGTTATCTCCTAATAATTTATTACGTATTAAACCTATACTATTTAATTAACTATATACATACATACGTTCATAGATAGTATCTTACAACTGTTTTTATGAAAGATTATGCATGTGGTTTGCAACTACATAAAAAGCTAATAAATGAAGTCTCAAATACGTTATATATGTATGTATATTTATATATGATTCCGGAAACGAAATTGCAATTATGTCTGGAAAATGCGACCCGGAAATAATTAAAAACAAATTAATAGAACGATTTATAGTTATGGTAATATTGTACGTCGGTTTTTTAAATTCTTTATTCAAATTCTTGTTTGTTTTTAGGAAAAAAAGTAAAAGTAAATTAAAAAAAAGTCA